TTTGTATTTTTTACCATTTACCAAGGCACCGTCACAGTTTGCTACCATTAGCAGGACAACCGTTGAACACCATTTCAAGCTGCTTTCAATCTCACCGATACAGCACAACTTGTGCAGATGAGGGTCCTGCGTTTCATCCTGTTTTCCCATTCTTCATCTCACTGTCCCATGGAAAATAACATAACATCTGTTGTACCTGTTTTGTCTTCTGAAAAACAAGTGTAATTATACTGCCTCAAGTTTATTGTTGGGATAAAATGAATGAGTATATGTATGTACATTCCACATACTTTGTACCTACCATATAATAATATGGTAGCTTTGTACCTACCATATAATAATATGGAATATGTATAGCGATTATTGTTTAGAATGACCAGCTGTAGGCACACTGAGAGAACAGCAGATGAATGACAGAGTCTACCCAGATGTGCCATAACTGAGTTAGGAAAACAGGAAGATCAATACTAATAAATGATTAAAAAGCGTGATGATTGAGTCCAACTTTTACATACATCGAGACTCAGGACAGATTGCAATTTGTTTGAGCTATAGGTAATGAGGTGGATTTTGTTTATGGAGGATGGCCTACCAAGGCTGAGGTCCGGAGACAAACTGAGCTCAAGGCTCCAAAATAAATGTAAGGTATTTATTTAGAAATCAAAGAAAAATGAGAAATATCAGTTTAAAAGTATAAAATCTCATACAACAGAATTTAGAGAGGAGAACTGATGAATCTACCCAGAGACTTTAAACTGACTTCCAGTGTCAAAGCACCTGGAGGTCAGCCCTTTATGGATCCAGCAGCAGGAAATCATGCTTAAACCCACTGGGCAATTGCCACTCCTCTTGTCTCAATATGAAGAGTCCTTCCATAAGACCTTAAGCCCCCCTCCCTTGGCACAGGAGCAGTGGGCAGAAAACATGACCTGGGTCCTAACAGGACCATCTTAGAGCGAAGATGAGCCTGTTCACCCCACAGATTGTTCTTAATAGCTTAGCCAATTCCGTTCTCCTAAGTGGTGTTCTCAGGATTGGGAAATGAGCTGCCTTGGTAATGAGGTCTCCTGGCTCTCTGCTGTTTGGATTGAGGTTTCTGCCATTGAATCACTTGGGAGTAGTAACTGCTTTTTGGAGAGAGAGACCCAGCATTTGGAACAGAAGATCAGTACCTTATTAAGAACCCCCAATCAGAGCTACTGCTTTGTGACCCAAAGACAAGCTTCTTTCCGTGGGTGGGGCTATGAAAATCTGGAGGAACTGAATGTGACATTTTCTGTCCTTCACGTTCGTCTCAGACACAGGAAGACTAAGATAGACTTCATTTCCTTCCTCTCTTAAACAGTTGTTTTTAGTTGTGACATTTTGGGTGGTGCCTAGAGATTGGCCAGCAAAAGGGGGAATTTTTCTAAAACCATAGCTCTGCTCAGTAAGGCTAGTAAGGAAAAAACTATTCCGTAAAACAGCATAACTCCACAAAGTGTTCTAAAGCTATGTAAGGACTGAGTTTTAAATAGTTTTATGAAGGACACTGACAAAAATTTTGGCAACATTTTATCACCCTAGTAAAAATCTGCATAATCCATTATTTCAAGCAGTCAGATTTCCGGAATGGTAGATGTAACTCAGACATGAGCACAACTCTCTACAAGACCCCAAAAGCAGGCTCCCTGGTGAGTATCACTTCCTTATGTACCAGGATGGGGAATGTTTACTAAAGTATAAACTCAGTTGTCACAGAGCAGTGACAATTTATAGAAGGAAAACATGATGTCTCCTGGGGAAGAGTTTGGAAATGTGGTGAATAGTGTAATGTAGAGAAGAGGAACATGAAACACTTGAAAGGCCTTAAATTGGGTCTTACACTAAAAATTGTTCAAGAGTCTAAGCCCCATGAGACCAAGCACCATCTTGGCAGTCTTTCTTTTCTTACAACTAGCACAGTACTTTGTGACTATGGAACACATTGACGCGCTGGAAGAAATGATTTTGATTAGTAAAATCAAGCCAAATATTGGTTTAAGCAAATAAAAACTACATAGAAAGTTCTGTGTATTTTTTTTTATGTTTTTGGTGGAGCGGGGGAGTTCTTTGTTTGCAGTCCTAGGGATTGACCAAGGGTATTCTTCCACTGAATTAGATTCCCAGTCCTTTTTATTTTTAATTTGAGACAGGTTCTCACTAACTTCCTGAAGACTGACCTTGAACTTGCCATCTTTCTGCCTCAGTCTCCCAAGTCACTAAGATTACAGGTATGTACCACTGTGCTCACTGCACAGTGGATTTTAAACATTCAGAAAAACAACAGGATAAGTTTTATTCTCTGGGGAAAAATAATAAACAGTATATTCATTGAGGATTGGGTCAAGGATCAGCCTTGTGTCACTTTTATTTGAAAGATAGGAAAGGCAATAAAATCGCCAAAATCAAAGATAGTATCTGAAAGGTGTGATTTCTGTCCATTTGTATATTCCCTACATTTTCTTCCTCTTATCTTTTACTTCTCACCTATATTTCCTAGATCCCAGATGAGTAATCCTTCTCTTTCTAATGCTTGGATTGTAGCACCCTCACTTTGCACCCCTTTATTGACTAATCTGTTTACTGGATTCCCAGATATTGGTGCTGCTGGAGTTTCAGAGATATTGGGAACTTAGAGATGACTAATGGTCTGGCAGCAGAGGGAGTCAGAAATACTCCAGGCCACAAGTAGGTGTGAGGTCTTCTAGCCACAAGGAATCTTCTAGCGAAGATTCACCAGTCTTCTAGTGAAGAGAAATCATGTTATAAGAATTCTGTGCATGAATTTAAAAGTATACAAATGTAATGGAAACTGTGACTTACCATTAATATACTCTGAATTACAAGATAGCAAGTGATCTGGATATCACTTTAGGTCCTTCCTATGTATATTAGTTGGATGGGCTATTCTGATCCACGGGAGAAGTAAAATATTGGCTGTTATCCAGAAGGGGATTAGAGACAAAACTGAAAATTGCATTCTTCCTAATCCATGGCTGTGTTACAAAGAAAGTGTGAGCAACAGTATATGAATCCAATCAATGCACTTCAGAGAGGTTTTTTAAAAGGCATGAAAAAAATCCCTATGCGAGAGTGGAAGGTAAATGATGAAATTTAAAAAAAACCAAGGCTCAGGTAATCAAAGGATTGTTTACAATCTAGGAGTGTTAAAATGAATCCCCTAACTCCACTCCTATTCTGCTCCTATTACAAATTTAAACTGGCTCATTTATGAAAAATAAAAAGGAATAACCACTCATAAAATTTATTATTTTATAAGGATTTCCAACATGTCAAGCACCAGGTCAAATTCTTTAAATACATTAACCAATTTAATTCTCTTGGCAACTCAGTGTTTTATTACTATAATCAATTTAGAAATGAGTTTAATATTGTGCTTAAAATTTTGAAGAGCTATTGAAGAAACTTACTCAGGGTTGCTGCATGAATAGATTTTTTTTTTTGAAAGATTACAATGACAAGAGTACTTTAGTAGCAAGGTACCTGAAGTGAGAAGTGTGAGTTAGGGGACCATCACATTATCAGAGGGTTTGATGATGGTCATCAAAAGTTGGGTGTTGGTAACTGTATAGAGAGAAGGGGACAGAGAGCAGAGTTTCAGGAGGGACTCCCATTGGGGGTCGGAAAATGGAAGGGAAGTCATTCTCAGCCTTCTGAATGGTTAAACCTGGTTGAGGATCAGGGTGAAAGCTGCCCAACTACATTCTCCTGTGCTAGATTCGCTTGGGGTGAGGCAAAATGCAGATGGGCCAATTCATTTCTGTCCCCAACATAGCTTGGAATATGGAGAATTGGAGTAAAACCGTGGGCCTCTGGACTTTGTCTGGTTAAATGAATTTATCTTTGCTGTCACACTAGGAAAGTCTGTTTCCTATTTGAAGAGTCATCCTCGGGTTCATTCCATTCCCTTTCCCTCTTTGGTTTAGAATTCAAGGAGATAAGTTACATTTCTACAGTGCCTTATGAAATGATTTTTCATGGTCTTAGAGGATATTTGTTGCAAGGTCTCTGGGAAGACTAGCCAGTCAAAATGCTCCCTTTCCTAATCTTCCAGGATCACAGGGGATGTAGGTACAGGGCTTAGGAAGGTGAAAGCCAGGACTAGATTTGGGCTCTCGGAAAGTGATGTCATTGTGGGGACCTTGCAGGGCACATGGCAATGAATGTTGCAGTGGATGCTGTTGAAAAGACACAACATTTTTATTCATTAGCTAATTCATTCACAATTCATTAATTTGTCTCTGGACAACTTGTTTCCGTAAGTTGACTATTGTGCACACAGTGTGGCAATCAACATGGGCGTACAAATATCTCTTTGATGTTCGGATTGCAACTTGGGTATTTGAAAAGCTGATTAACACCACTAATCTCTGGGAATTGCTAACTGAAACCACAATATCGCCTCCCAACAATTAGCATGGATAATATTTTTTAAAAACTCCCTAAGACTATTCTCAATAGATAACAAATGTTAGAAAAGATGTGTATATACTGGAATCCTTTTACAACATTGGCGGGAATGTAAAATGATGCAGCCACTGTGGAACGCAGTAGGGAAGTTCCTCGAATACTTAAAAATAGGACTGTCATATAACCCAGCAATCCAGCTTCTGGATGTATAGTCAAGAAATTGAAATCAGGTAGCTATTGCTACAAATCCCTTTTTAATTTGATTCAATTGTATTTAATTTATCTACTTTCCCTCTCGCCTCCATCTCTGCCCTTAATCCCAAGGAACTAGGGGAAAGCCCTCTAGAGTAACAAAGAAGAAAGTGGGCAACGAGGTACACTGAGCAGCTGGCCAGTAGGTGAACACTGATGGCCCCTGGGGTTTGAGGCTTTGCTCGGAGGCTGAACACACTTTTGTCCTGGGCCCAGCCAACTCTCTTTCGAGGTTCACTTATCACATCTTTATTTCCTTTACCTAGCTCTTTCTTAGGCTTTTCCCAATGCCAAAGCCAAACTCCACTTTTGTGACTGAATTTGTCTTTGAAGGCTTCTCCAGCTTTGGGTGGAGGCACAGGCTTGTCTTCTTCGTTGTTTTTCTAACCTTGTACCTGCTGACTTTGTCTGGCAACGTGATTATCGTGACCATTATTCGGCTGGACCGTCACCTCCACACGCCCATGTACTTCTTCCTGAGCATGCTCTCTGTCTCTGAGACCTGCTATACGGTGGCCATCATTCCCCGTATGCTTTCTGGCCTCCTGAATCCTCACCAGACCATAGACATCCAAGGCTGTGCCACCCAGCTCTTCTTCTATCTCACCTTTGGCATCAACAATTGCTTCCTCCTCACGGCCATGGGGTATGACCGATACGTGGCCATCTGCAACCCCCTGAGGTATTCAGTCATCATGGGTAAGAGGGCCTGTGTCCGGTTGTCATCTGGGTCACTGGGAATTGGTCTGGGCATGGCCATCGTCCAGGTGACGTCTGTGTTTGGCCTGCCCTTCTGTGATGGCTTTGTTATTTCCCACTTTTTCTGTGACGTGAGACCCCTCCTGAAGCTGGCCTGTGCAGATACCACTCTCAATGAGATCGTCAACTTGGCTGTCAGTGTCTGTGTCCTTGTCCTACCCATGGGCCTGGTCTTCATCTCCTACGTCCTCATCATCTCCACCATTCTCAAGATTGCTTCTGCAGATGGTCGGAAGAAGGCCTTCGCCACCTGTGCCTCCCACCTCACAGTGGTCATCGTCCACTATGGCTGTGCCTCCGTCGTCTACCTCAAGCCCAAGTCCCAGAGTTCCCTGGGGCAGGACAGACTCATCTCAGTGACATACACCGTCATCACGCCTCTGCTGAACCCTGTGGTGTATAGCCTGAGGAACAAGGAAGTCAAAGATGCTTTGCGAAGAGCCTTGGGGAGAAAGCCCCTCTCTCCTTAATCAGGACAGATTGTGAAGACTTTTTTTTTTTGTCTTTTTAGTGTATAATGTATTAATTTTTATTCTATTTCATAAATATCCATACATATGGGATCAAAAAGAGTGAACTAAGTTGAACTGGGTGCTAAAATTGGGGGCTTCCTCTTGGGGTAGTCTTGCTTTTCCACATCCTGCTTTATAGGAATGAGAAAACGACTTGGCATGCCTATAAAAAATAGAGTAGGAGGATTTACATACCCATGTCACTCATACCCAGGTGCGCCCATGCACACTTGCACATAGCAACACACATCCTGAGAATAGTTTCAGTTACTTACACAATTCCAGTTAGTCCTGCAGGGTCCTAAAAAGCTGATGAATAAAAGGTTTGCAAACCACGTCAAGAAAGAATTCTTTGTTGTTTTTGCATGTTGTTAAGGGTGTCAGAGTAACCTGGGCAGTCATCCTAAAAAGTAAATGAGGAAACACACATGCACATACATTGTTGAAGACTTTCTTCTCTTTTTGCTGCTTGCTAACATTCCATCACAACCTAGGAAGTCTTCAAAGGCTGCAGACACATCTGCCTTATCTGACTTGGGAATAAGGAGTGATAAAACTGTCCGCTACAGATGACATAGATGGCGGTTATTCCTAGTCCTGAGGTGCCCGGATGAGAAAGCTTGCAGTAAAAAAAAAAAAAAAAAAAAAGAGGCCATGCTGAAAATCTTAACATTTTTCTTCCTTTCAACACAGGAATAAAGAGGATAGAGGTCAGAAGAAGCCAAGCAAAGGTAGTGTTCCTTTTGCAGGGTAGAACTAAGCTCTCTGAAACAGTATTAAAAACACAAGCACTTTAACTACAACGATGGAAAATATTTATTAATGGACTGAAATCTTAACATTGGCTTAAAAAATTTTTACAGGAAGCTCTTAAACCTGATGCAGTTAATTTTTCAGGAGTCTCTTCTTGAATACTCTGAACTTTAAACCCAAGTTCGAAACAGCATTTCAAGTCACAGAAGGTGAAAGTGAGATGCACTGGTGCAAGAAAGTATCCTGTGTCACAGAAGGTGAAAGTGAGATGCACTGGTGCAAGAAAGTATCCTGTGTCTGGTCTTTCCTCTCCATTCTGGGCTTCACAGTGCACTGAATGTTTGCAGGCTAGCACAGTATAAATGCTAATGGCGAGGAAACATACCCTGAGTTTAAAGCACTCTTCCTGTAGCATCCAGAATCCACCTGATCTTGTAGCATGACCCTGCAGAGGCTACCTATCACTTGTGAAAGTGTTTTCAGATCTTCTGAGAGCTGAGAATGGGGCAAGTCGATGGAGATGAACCCATCCTTTAACTCAAATGAACATATGTCTCTCTGCACAAAAACACTGGCATGTGAAATCTGACTGAGGATAAAAGATAATCTTTGCTTTTGTGTCCAGATTTCCAGAAATGATAGAGTAACTCATTCCTGTGAGGTTAATCAAAACAGAGTTCAAAAATTTTGCTTAGTAATTCTGTTTAATCTGGTCAAACCTATTGAGTCTGTCTTCTTTCTGAAGTTGAATTTGGTGGATAATGTGGCATGCCGCCCGGATCACACACACCCCTCAGGACCGACACATCCCACACATGCCTTGTCCCTCCAGGTGATGAGAGAACCATGGATTGAGGGATCTTGGTGAGTCCCTCCTCAGGAACTATCTTTGCAAAGGAGCTCTCTCCTACAAATTCACACTAACCTTTTGGGGTATATTGCCACCAGTAATTTGCCTGGTTCAAACTATTGCATTTCCTGAGACAATTAAGAAGAGCTCTCCTAACTCCAAGGGGTTCTTATCCACAAAATTGTCTGAGAGTTTTGCTGTGCTCACCTGACATCTCAACTTCTCCTCTTTTTGCATCCTGCTTCCTTCACTCCCACAAAGGTATAGCTGCTAAGAGCATAGTCTAATAAACTTGCTGCATTTAAATCTGTGTCTCAGAGTCTGTTTCCTGGGGTTGCCAATTTGCAACATTTTAGGATCGCATTTCTGAATCAGCCACTGACATAAGGTGAGAGCTCAGATTTTTAGCCATTCTATATCCTAGTGAAGGCAGAGGTCAGTGGCTCCTGTATTTGGATATTTATAAAATGATTGCATCATGTTTATTGAGCTATATTTACAGGGACTCAATTTAGTTGTCAGCAGTGCAGTATTATGTTCTTGGAAACTGGTTAAAAATAAAAATCTGATTTTTTCTCAGAATCCACAAGGAGTCATTTTATTTTTGTCTCTCCAAAATTCTTCATGAGCAATTTCATTTTCTTTGCAGCCCAGGGCCTCTACTTCCCAGTGAGACCTCTGCTGCTTTGAGGACTGTGCTGAAAATCAACGACAATGGGAAAGACTAAAAGTGGGCCTATGTCTCTCCAATTTGAAAAAGAGAAGGTTGTGGGTTCTGTAGGGGATGTAACTGAAGTGAAGCTGAAGAGATCCTGGGTGCATTTGTAGAGTTAAGGGTTTGGGGTGTGACTATTGTGGAGGTTGAAGAAGTACCAATGGGGACATGAACTTGGTAAGTAACTGCACAGAGCTAGTCTGATAAACCAAGGCTGGAGAATATCTTCAATTTCTGAGGTGACACTAGAACCTGGGCTATCAGGTGCCTCTGCCTACCACAACAGGAAGCTTCACCTATAGGTTCAAAGAGAGGCACCTGCTCCCTTCATTTCCCACTTAATGAGGAGAGGGAAGGACACGGTTTTTGTTCGAGGCCTCAGTTCTCCAACACACTGACTTGGGGGATCTTTCACCTGAATCTCCATCCTGGAGGCAGCCCATAGAATTTATCTTTCATTGGCCACAAGCAGAAGAATGGCTGCCATGATTTTCAGAAAACCAACTCCTAACTGGGAGCTCATGATGATGTGTGGTGGCCTCCTGTGAGAGAACAAATGTTGTTCCATGCTTTTTCCTAGACCCATTTGGTAAAAGATCAGAGGTGACAGAGGACAGTGCAAGGGAGAATTTGGGATGAATTCTTCTAGTCATCTGTCTAACATACTCCTCTGGCATTGCGAGAAAATATTTTATGCATTAAAGTAAGAAGACCTCGTTGCAAATGGCCTATTTTGTAAATCCACATAATGTTCAAGTCCTAATTCTGTTTCACATTCCTTTTGGAAAAATAATAAGTGTTAACATGAAAAAGAAAATGGGAAGAAAGAGGGGATAGAAACAGGTCTGAAACAAGAATTTAGATACATGGAAGAGCCCGTGAAAGAAGCGACGGAGGGGAGGAGCGTCAATCGCAGCAGCATATTCTAAATCCTTGCTCATACTTACAATGATCAAGAGAGAACTTTTTTAAATCTATATTTTCATGGTTCTTGCTTCTAGATGAAAATAAATGAGCAAATGAACAAGGATCCCTAGAAGCCTCATGTTACCTAGCTTCATAGTTATTTTATTCAAATTGTGCTTCTCTTTCACAAATGCTAAAAATTAGTATACCCATTATTCAATTATTCAAATAATATTTATTGAGCACTTAACTATTACATGCCACTTAACCAGGTACAGTCGGTTTAATGAAATAATTCTGCAAATCCTCAAACATAGGCTTCTATGTACATCCTGAGTTGTGTCTGACAATGGAGAAGCAATTGCTGTGCAGTAAAATATTGCTGTTGCCAATTCTCCCTTAAGAAATGACATCAGCTCTTTTCAGGATCTGGCTTAGGAAGCGACTTCCTAGGTTTGTTGACTTTTTCAGTTTCCTTAATCTTCAAGAGAGATTTAAACTGCTGCTCCGTCAAGAAAAACAGTCCTGTGTCCACAGCAAACAGAGTCGCCACCAGCAAGGGGACAATAATTTGCAGCCACATGTACTTGGTTCGGTATACTAGCGTAGAACAGAGATGCAACAAGAGACAAAATTTGTGTTAGAACTTGGCAAAATTTGTGTCAGAGCTTCACTTCCTTAAGAGAAGGGTCAACCATGGCCCCCCATCTTTAGTGTGATATGATAATAAGGAACAGAGAGAAAACACTTGGGGGATTGAGTTCCACAGGATATACTCCCTGGAACATTAAGGAGGGCTAAGTATTTGCTAATAATCCCCATCTCACCGTTCTTCTAGCCAGTGTGACTAATGGGAAAGTCATAGGAAAAATGGCCTCTTTCCTGGATCTGACATGACCAGCATCCATATATGATTTGAAAGCAGAAAGGAGACAAAGCGAAACCAGGTTTCACTGGTGCCTTGTTTCTTAATCAATAGACTATTGTTTCTTGCATGATTACTGGGTAAAATTGAGCTATTGGAGTAGTCATACTGCCTTCCAACTCTACTATTTCAGAACTCTGTGATTTTATTTACACAACACTGATTTTGTGATTATTCTAGAATTTGAAAGCTGCAAAATATTATAGCTAGAAATGACTTGGAGGTCACCTAGACCAGTGTTTCTCAATGCTAGCTAGACATTATCAACACCTGAAAGAACTTTTAAAAATACTGATGACCAGACCCCATCCAAAATCAATTCTACCAGAATGTTAAAAGATAAGACAGGGACAACAATCTCTCTTGAAATTCCTCAAGTGATTCTAGTGGAGTCTAGACCCACCCCTCAACTTACACATGAAGATCTTGGAAGTCCTGGGACAATTGGACAACACTTTGCTCTCAAGTTAGCAGAGAACTGCCATAAGGGCTTAACCTGACCTTTAGCCTCATGTTTTACAGACATAATTATGAACATGCCAAGGGGAAAAAAAATCTAATTTCCACCTTGCAAGGAGAATATTTCAGTTCCTTCCTGGTATATGAAGTCTGGAAAGGGCTGTTTCTCTTACAGGCCATGGAGGTAGCCCACCTGCCAGCTCTGTGTCCATCCAGCCCAGTCCCTCATCCCCAGAATACAGGCACACAGCTTACTAACTGGTTGGCTTCATTTCCTAGACCTTGTAAGCTAGGATCAACTCTTCCATGTCTTCACATCTTTTGTTTGTTCCTTCAACCTAGAGCTCTCTTTGAAATTTGAAATATTTAAAAATCTCAATCTTAAACATAAGTTCTTTCCTCAGGAGCAACAAATGAATTTGAGATCAGAATAATCTTCATAACCTGTTAAGTCTACCTTACTTCTGAATCAATAACCCATCATTTCTTGCACGACCTCTGGATAAAATAAAGATTTGGAGTAGTTGCATGGCCATTAGATAGCTCTCTTTTAAACAGGGAACTGCCATCAGAGTTTAACTCCAACTTTTGGCATCATGCATTTTTTAGACATAATTATGATTATTCCAAGAAAAAAAAGCATAAACATCAAATTCCAAGTTACAAAGACTTTTTTTATGAAATCTTTTAAACAAACATTATCGTATTATTCATTCGAATCCCATAGTGCGGGCAGTTACTATCATTTAACAACTAAGGAATCTATGACTTCGATGCGTGCTATGTCTTACGTCTCCTCATGGTAAATCTAGGAGCCTTTCTTACCTACCACAGCTGATCCCATTCTAAAAGCTGCAAAGACTTTAGGCTCAGATGTCTTCTCTTCCTTCCCTGCTGTGGACTATTTCTTTTTCCCTTACCAACTCACCTTTTATTACTGTAATTCGAAGGGGCTCAGAGACACAGGGCTGCTTCTGAAGTAGGCCCTTACAGAAATAGCTGCCACTGTCGTTAAGTGAGGCATTTGTAATGGAGAACACTTTGTTCCCGTAGGAGTACTTGAGAGCCATGTCGTCCTTGTAGTAGATCACCTTTTTGATCTTCCAGTTTCTCCAACCATGGCACCTGAGGAAGAGCGACTCCCCTTCCAACACCTCCTCAGCAGAGGCCTGAAGGAGCATCCAGTCTGAAAAGCATTCATTATCTCATTTATTTAACAGTGAATAGAGGGAAGGAAGAAAGGGAATTAGGATGCGGGGAAGAGATTTAGAAAGAAGGAGAGAGAGAATAGGGGTCCTGCGTAGAGTGTGTGTCAGAAACCATGGATTATCATTAACCCATTTCTTGGTTTGTAAGATCAATAAAAGTAATCACAAAATAATGCTTACAGACTGTTTTCTCAACATTTTCCTCCTGAAAAGTCAGACTGGAGCTGTAAACTGTCATACCTTCCTGATGAGCCCATACACGGAAGGACTGAAACCCAGAATCCCTTCAGATCTATTTTAGGCAATTTCAGACAGAAAAGGGAAATTAAACATACTCTTACCAGGACATTTGCAGCTTAGGAGACTCTATTTTGTTCTCTCTGAACTCACAGAGGCTTCCCAGTTCTGTTGCTAACAGAGTTGGCCTCAAAACTTCCTTAAACCATATATAACAATTTTAATTAATTATTTGCATAATTCTATATTTAATGTCCCTTCCCCCATTTGGCTCTGTTTTGGAAGGTCAGGCACCATTTCTGGTTAATTTTCTATCCCCAGTGCCTGACAGTGCCTAGAAGTTAGTGGGCACTTCTTGACCAAAAATATTTGTCAACAATGAGTCAGTAAAAGACAAGAATCAGGTTCGATGACTAATGTCATTGTAAGAATTTAAAAGCGAAAAAATTTGAAATGGGAATATGGCTAACCTGTACAAGCATATTTTATTTAGGATAAATCTTTAGGGACTTATTTAGAATCTTTTTTTTCCTTAAGATCTGAGGATTGAATCCAGGACCTTACACATGTTAGGCAAGTACTCTACCACTGACCTACATCCACAGCCCACTTCTCTACAACCAGCTACAAGGAAATAGCTATTCCACACTGTTTTAGTTTGTATTTGGAATTTGTATATGTATGTTAGAAATTTTCACTTCAGAGAAAAATAAAAAAGTGTAACAATAACTTATCTATCCAAATGAAATAATTAGTTTATTCATTAAACATTTACTAATTAGCCCCCATATACCTACATATGTTGTGCTAATTTTTGGCAGTAGAGACAAAGATGAAGCAAACCTAAGAGTTATTTTTGAGTAACAATTGAAGACATGAGGAACATACCCAGATACCATTCATAATGAATCTGATATTCAAATAATGGCACATGCATTATTCAGGGAAAATCTTTAAATCAGACTTTTTGATCCTATTCCACACGCGTAGTTCTTTGCAATGTTCATATATCCATCACACCATTTAACCAATTATAATATATCTGTGTCTAAGAACTAAAGACAGTGGAAAATAAAGTAGAAGAATAATATTGTGAGGTGATTAGAATACTGAAAGAGAGCAGAAGGGTGGGTGGAAGGAATGGGAGTAGAAGAAGAGAAATGGAGCAGTATTGAAGGAGAAGCCATGGGTCCCTTCTCCACAACTTCATTCTTCACGTGAGAGATATCTATTCCCAAAACCCCAGAACTTACCACTGATCACTTCCAAGTACACAGGTTTACTCTTGTAAAAATTTCGGCCATGACATGTGTATATCCCACTGTGTTGATAGGTGGCATCCACGATGCTCCATTTTGAAGCTGTCACTTCCGAAATGGTGCCATTATGGGTCCACACAGTGTGGCTATTTTCAGTGGAATTATTATCTTTACATTCGAGAATCACATTCTCTCCTCTAAAAATTCTATTCCATGGGGGGTTCAAGGTCAGAATAGATTTTCGATTGCCTTCAAGAAGATAAAATTATGGAAAGAAATACAGAAAGAAAAAAAATTGAAAACTATCCAGGCTCAAAACACACACATGTCAATAGTCAATCAATTGTCAGTATATCCTTGTATTATTGGTGGTAAGACTCTGTCCTGATTTCTAGGAGAAGTGCTTAAAAATGGAGGAAACAGTATAGAGACCCCAGGGAGACAGGACACAAGAGATTTAAAAACAACAAGCAAACAAGCTAATTTACTATATGACTTGGGATAACTCACTCTAATTCTCTTAAATTGAATTTCAGTATCTACAAATGAAAATTGCAATCTCTTTTCAGGGAGAGATAATATCTTTCATACTCAACCATTGCTCAGCACAATGGTTGCTACATAGTCAGTGTTCATTAGATATGTATTGAGTGAATGAATGCAGGAATAGTGGACGGATAAACATTAGAGTCAGGCATGGTGGTGCACACCTATAATCCCAGTGGTTCAGGAGGCTGAGGCGGGAGGATCACAAGTTGAAAGCCAGCCTCAGCAACCTAACGAGGCCCTAAGCAACTAAGTGAGACTCTGTTTCAAAATAAAAACAAAATGGGCTGGGGATGTACCTCAGTGGTTGAGCACCCCTGGGTTCAATCCCCAGTATCAAATATATATATGTACACACGCACACAAACACACTCACTCACATACACGTATATATAAATATATTAGAGTAGATGAAATATAGGGTCCTTCCAAGCTCTAACTTTTTATGGCTATTTAATTGCTAGTATATATAGAGTGCAAAAAATAGGTCCATTCTGGAAGATAGTGAGAGTCTCCAAGACAGACATTCTTCGCTTCTAGGAGCAAAGGGGTGTGGTACAAATTTGAACAGAGGCTAAGGAATTGGCTAAATGGTATTGACAAAAGAGTGACACAGTCAAAGAAGTGGACATGGACCCAGAAGACTTGGAATCCATTCCTCCGTTGGCTGTGTAACCTCTGGAAAGTCACCTTCTCTGATTTTCAGCATTCTCAATTATTTTTAAAAAGTAACAATAATAATAATCATGTAAAATTGAATGCGTGTATGTCAAAAGGATTAAAAAAGAGGCTGAGACACGTCGATGTGCAGCTGATATGGATTTTGGCTTAAACAGAGAAGATGACTTGAGAAAATAAGGAATTTTATTTTACGGGAGGGAGAAGAAGGAAAATACAACGTAGAAATGGGAAGTGGGTGGGCCAAAGAGTGGCAGGTTCCCATGCATTAGCCAAAGTGAAGGGATGAAGGCAAAGGCTGAGGGGAGAGTGGTACCAGACACACTGGAATGCTGAGGGACAGGACAGAGGACTCACCTGTTAGCGTGCCGGCCAGAGCTGCAAAAGTCCAGAAAAGGAGAAGTTAGCATCTCTCTCCAGTCTTCTGGGACTCCACAGTACAGGGATCTGGGTGTGGGGATGAGATCTATATCCATGGAGAGCTAAACAGCTCAGGAATCTGAGCCATGTGGATGGAGAAGGAATTTTTCTCTTCCTTTGCTAGGAATCTTGTTGTCTGGGAGATGCTAGAGCAATTGCAAGGAACTCGACTCTTAATTTGGTTTCCCCTCAGGTGTTACTCAGCCCAGTTTCCCATCCTTTCCAGTTCGACTCCACTACAGAGTCCTGGGAAATGTCTCATGGTTTATACATGTCCTTGAACAAGTCACCACCAAACTAATCAAAATCCCCCCCACCGCCACCCCACTACCTCCTAGATCCATTTGGGCCCCTCCAGGTGGGGTAACTGAACCTCTACTTACAGAAAAGCAGCAACCCTATGCACAGTGGGGCACACCCTCCCATGGCAGCAGGCATCTCCTCTGTGCCCCCAGGTGCCAGCTGGGCTGGTAAGAACTATGTGCTCAGAAATAGGCTTGAAACTAAAAAGGAGAAGGAAATGTTTTCTGTATCATATCTAGTTAACTCATCAATGATGCCTGGGCTGGTCTCTTTCTCCAGAGATAATATTCAGGGTTGTTCTGAACTGGGCGATTTTATACTCACCCCTTTATTCTGCTCCCCATCAAATCTCCATAAGCACACTTGGAATCTCGCGGGAGAGGGGCATAGGTAGGGTCACTGGGCTTCCTGAAACTCTCAATCAATACATAACTAGTTTGCAACTTAGATAAGTGAGGTGCAAGGGAGAACAGAATCAAACAACAATTACTGCATACTTAATTTATGCCAGGCACTATCTAAACACATCTGAGATTTCATCTATTTCTCACAAAAGTCTATGAGTTAGGAACTTCTGCTCTCTACATTGTATAGATAGGAAAAGTGGCTCTTAGAAAGCTTTAGCAACTTGTTTTAGGCCATCACTCAGGAAATGACTAATTTGGGGTTCAAACACATAAAAATCTAACCCCAGAGTCAAACTCTAAATCATTAGAATATACTGCTTGAGCATGTTCCAGAGTTTGGCCAGTAATTGCTGAAATTCTTTTGGGGTTCATCTTGTTACTTAATTTCCTGATAATCTTTTGTCTACTAATCCACAAATTTTCATCTGATTCACTGATGATCTACTAACTGACAAGTTAAACTAGAGATATTTTCATAGAATTCTCTACTGAGTTCCTGATGTAGCCTATAACACAGGGAAGAAGATGTTAACCATCTCTTATAGGGATGTGAGCATTTTCTTTTCTTTCCTAGGCTTGGTCAATTTTTAATTTTATCATCATCCAGCATGCACACCATTTTTCCTTTAAATATACATCAGTTCTTTTCCTTTTCATGACACCTCTGACCAATTTTTTTTGGCATTTCAGCTTCAGGTCATTGCTGGTCAATTTCTTCTTGGATTTGGGATTGATAATATTGAAGATAATGCCATAAATATCTACAGTGAATTGCCATTTACAAAGGAGTTTTTTTTTTTTTGCATATAGTATTAATTTGATATTTGCCAAAATTCTGAAGAGAAATAGTATCCACAGCTGAAGTCAATGAGGCACCATTCTCTCACGCCCTGAGCTGCCTGAGAGAGTGTAGAATTAAGTCTTTGAATTAAATGCAAAGTCACTTTAGTCGCATAGAGATCTATGCAAAACTTTCAGCTTTCTGTGAAATGAGAGAAAACGGGGCTAAAAATATTCATAAATAGAAAGTGTCAGATAAGAAAGATTGGTGTCCCTGGTGCAGGACTTGCAGTGTTTTAGTGACAAGATCTGAAACAGAGCAGAAAGTTATTTTGAAAAGTGCAAGTGGTGGGTGTTTCGAGAGCCGAATTCAAATGCTCCTGGTGTTTACGTAACTGACATTTAATTGTAAAATAGGGACAACACTGGTATCTAGATTATGGCTTTATTATGAGATTTAATGAAATAATAAGGATATAAAATATGTTGCATAGCTTCTGGCATGAAAAAGATGTTTAATAAATACATCTTTCTTATTATTACTTAGTAAGGACTCAGGATAGATACAAATTTTGACTGGGACTCAGGACAAATACAAATTTTGACTGGGTTAAGGACAATCAGAAACATTTTTTGATACCTTGTTGATAATCAGTATCTTATGCCCATTTAATTTATCTAAGTAATCTCAGTCCTCGCTGTAGTTATGAAGAACAGAGCAGGGGCCTGGGGCTGGGGCTCAGTGGTAGAGCGCCTGCCTTGCACATGTGAGGCACTGGGTTCGATCCTCAGCACCGCATATAAATAAACAAATAAAATCAAATCACTGTGTTCATTTACAACTAAAGAAAAAATATTTTAAAAAAATAAAAGGCTAAAAAAAAAAAAAAGAAGAACAAGAGCCTGGTGCAATGGTGCATACCTGGAGACTCAGACTCAAGAGACTGAGGCAGGAGAATCACAAGTTTCAGGCTAGTCTTGATGAGTGTGAAGCCAGCGTGGGCAACTTAGCCAGACTCTACCTCAAAATATAAAATAAGGGGCTGGGGTTGTGGCTCAGTGGTAGAGCGCTTGCCTAGCTTGTGTTTGATCCCCAGCACCAAATAAAAATAAAAAAAATAAAATAAAATGATTGTGTCCATCTACAACTGAAAAAAAAGAAAAGAGCAGGATCAAGAAAGAATACAAAATGGAAAGTTTGATGGAAAGAGATGAAGGGAACTAAGAAAGAGGTTTGAGGTGTCCTCAAAGGGTGACATTTGTTTTGGACAGGTCCTGCATTACTGCTTTGATAAGAATTTTTCCAGGGATTTTAGGTTTCCTTTTTCTTAGTACAGTGGACTTACAATAAAAAAATGTCCTTCCAAGAGAGTTACTTTTCTGTGACTCGGCCTATTTAAAGGCTCTCTCTGAAGTCTGCACACTGTCCAGGAATCTCCTCCCTAGTTGGTGTTGGAATGAGCTCAGTTAGAGGTACTAGTTCTAGTTTGAAGAGTATCAGCCCTGAAGTGTTTTGGAAGCAGTAACAGCAAGATCTTAACAGGCTCAGCAAAAGCAGTTCATTAAAGCTTTAAAAACACTCACCTGCCCAACCCTAAAGAAAGATCCACAACGTGAACCTGAGAAAGAATAAGCCCTACTCTGTTTCCCAAAGTATAAACTCCTGCCATATACAGAATGTCCCCTTCTCCTATTTGGTTTCAAACTTATTTCTCAAGCCAAAGGAACAAAACAAGAATTCAGAAGGAACACATGAACACTAAGACTAAACAGGAGTTCCATAGTACCTTGGCAGAACCAGTTGATGCACCTGCTGTTTTTTTATCCTATATATGCATTAAAAAAAAATGTCCTCCAAATTTTATTTTCACTGAGGGGAGTGAGCTTCTGACTTCTTGTCTACATCAAGAACATGTGCTCCATGAAATCAGCAGAGAATCTCTTAATCTCGTTTCTTACTACAGGCTTTTAAATGAGGGTACACATGTGCTCAATACAGAACAACATCATTGTGCCCCAATTTTGACCAGTTACTGATTCTCAGAAGTCTTTATCTATATTTCAGTTTATAACAATGGAGAAATAAAATTAAAATGGCCACATGGGAACTCCAGGGCCTGTGGACTGTGAGACGTCCTCATAGCTGCTTTCTAAGTGAGAGGCTTTTGACAGGGACTTTTGTGTTTTGGAACATGGCTGTCAGAGGAGGGATCAGGGATCAGCCTACACAAGTGGGTTGACCTTTGTGCCCTCCAAAATTAGAAAGAAGAAGGGTCCATCTGCTGGTTTTTTCCTATTTTCTATAAAACCAAAGTCCATTAATATTGGATATGAAAAGTGAAAGATGTCTACTCATAGTGTATGTGTACCTAATAGATATTGATCTCTTTCTAAAGACCAAGAACAAGGCTAAGTATGTAATATCTCTTCTCTCCTTTGTTCCTTCTACCAACTCTGTGGTTAGGAAGGAGAAAAACTAAATCATAAAGAAATTAAGTACCTTATTAAAAGATATGTAGTGAAGTGAAGAGTTAGGAGTTGAAATCAGGCAGTCTGGTTAAAAGAGCTCAAACTCATGACCAGAGAGACAGATAAATGAGATAAAGAAAGGAGGGGGGAGGAGATTTTATTAATTTAATCTATACATCACGATTGAAGTGCATGTGAATTCATAATACTCAAAAACACCTTGGATTCTCAGGAGTCCGTAATCCACGTAGGAAATCATTGATCTAATCAGTCTATCGTCCTGTTCTATGAATTCCTTTCCTCAATTCAGGGGATGACTTCTCAACCCTCAGCCACACAGTATTGTTGGTGCTAGTGGCACATTAATTGTTTTCTTTTCACAAATATTTCTAGAAATAAGAGAGAAAAGAGAAAAATCTTTGCCTTTTTCCTCTGGAATTTTAGGGCCAGGAGGGTGTGAGCTTGGTCCTCTTCTTTCTGTCACCTTGAACAGGAGTCTGCCAGGAGAGAGCGCTCAATAGCAGGTGCTAACGGCCTGGTGGATTTTCACATTAAAGTCAGTGGCTTAATACTTTTTACTTCTTGTCTTGACCTGAATGGTTACTCACTTTGGGTCCAAAAGAAATAAATCTGAAAGAAATAAATGGAAACTCCTGGGACTCCCAAAGTAAATGTCACTCAGACAGAGATGAAGACAGGGATTATACAAGCTGCATCCTTGGGTACAGATAGACATTCTTCCTCCAGAAAAAGAAAAAATGAGACTTCAAGAAATAATGCCAGCAATGATCCTTTCCCTTCCATTTTTAGAGACTAAGTTCTCTCTCACATGGAAGGGAGAACCAGGTGGAATTTTACACACATTCAGTATTTGCATGGAGAGTAACTATAAGATATATTTCAAGCACTTGATTTTTTGTAAACAAATAATGCTGTATCCTTCAAATCTAAAGATGGCCTTACTATTTTGAGATTACAGATTGATATAACTGAAGCTACAATACTATGGACTGTTTATAGGGAAGTCCTACCAGATATGCCAATTGGAACCTGTCATAGGAGGCCAAGAGATTAAAAAGGGTCAGATACATGGTCCTTTTCTGAATGGACATGAAAACTCAATAGATTAGGAAAATGTTTTCTATCTAGTGTCATACTTCTTGGGTACCCCCGACTAAACTACAAAATACAGGAAAAAAAAAAAGTCCATCTGTAGGTTCCCTGAAATTTCTCAGCACTGACCACTGTCTGAGCATAATCTATTTTATATCATAATCTATTTTACTGTATGTAGGTGTGATGTAAGTGTGACCATCTGTGAAATCAAGCTGCTTTCTTTGGGCTATATAATAAGCCACTCAGACTTTGCAAATGAGACCTCTTTGCGCTATCTTGTAATTAAGGGAGTAGTATCAACCATAAAGTGAGATCAAGCAAATTGACTGTGATTTTTGCCTTATACCTATACACACCATGTTCCATCCAAGACCCAAAGCGCTTCATACTTTCCTTTGTCTTCGAATAGATAC